GCAAGATTTCTAATTTTAATTTAATACAACGGTCACAACTATCCAGTGAGAACATATTTATTTTCCATTAAAGAAAACTAAAACACTATATTTAATTTGCAATATAAGGGAGTAGAGCAAACTGCAGACCAATGGTGTCAGCTATGTTGAGACCGTTGCTGCACCTTCCTGAAGCCCCAGTATCAAAGTCTATCCCATAAGGGAGGTAATTAACTTTAGCTGGAGTGTTAAGGTAGTTATTGTTTCCGTTATCAAAGAGGGAATCTCCGAAGACGAAGTAGCAAGGAACTTGAGGTACGGCCTTTCCATAAGTCCAGTGTTGCCAGTTTGACACCAGCAACACCACGGACAACACCCACAATGCCTTGAGCCCACTTTCCATTGGCAAATAAAATGAAAGAAGGAAACAAAATCAGTAAATATAGAAAGAAGGAAGAAGTGCGTAGCTAGGGAAGAGTGCTTCGTAGTAGAACGAACCAGGCGTATTTATAGAGTGGAGATCTAGCTATCAGCTTGTAAGCGTGTTCTATTGTACGTCACGTGTGTTTTTCAATCTAATTAGTTTACAATGCCTTATAGATCTGATAGTAAGTATCATGTCTCCTTGAGTCTTGTCACTTACAGTATTTCTTCCCCTTTATTTTTTGGAGTTTGCTTTCTCCCTCAGATTGATCAAATATCTCTTTATTTAATATTAAATGAGTACTGTTTATTCTCTCCGCTTGCTTTAATAATTTTTTGCTTCTTTCATAGTAGGCTTATTAGCCCTTTTTAGCTTTCTTAATGTAGTAATTTTAAACCATTTTTCTTTTTTTAGTTCTATAATTAATCAATATAAGTTATTGTTTTCTTACTTTTTCAAACTTCTCTTTAAAATTAGATTTGGTAATTGAATAGAAAATTACACTTTGTTCAAATTAGATTTGATAGATCTAAAAATAAACACACTTATGGAAGTTTTATAAGGTTTTGGTATTTCTAAGCTACGACATACTTAAATTTAATAATTTATTTTTTAGATAAAAGTCTATATTTCAGTGTGTGAGTTTAAAAATAAAAAATCTGTAGTTATATAATAGGAGTCTCGTTAAACTTCTATTAATATAACTCTAATGCATTAATTTAAAAAATATTAATATAAAAGTTAATTTATTACATCAATTATTAAAGTTTTGAAGAAAACTAAATCTCAAAAACATTACTTTAACATAGAGATATAGGCTTATGTAATTAGATTAGAAATTGTTACGCGCGCAGGCATAAATGATTAATGACCAGCTCCCTCGAAATTCCACTTCAAGAAACTCATAATTAAAAGTTAAATAATTGTACTATAGAAAATAAGATAGAAGAATGGGAATTTTGAGTAACCCCTTCCACATCAACACAGTCAAATCACTCAACTTTGACTTAATATTATAGAACTCGTAAAATATCTGTATTATGAAGTAAGGTTCAAACATGCATAACTACTATTACTCTCTAATAAATTGATTTTTTATTCTTTCAAGATATGATCAATATTTCTTGATTATATTATGAATACCGACAATATCAAGTTATAAATCAATAACGTATATTATTTTTATATTAGAGCTCCAACGTTTCGCTACACTGTGAACACCAGCAAATCTCTTATAAAGCAATACTTAATCTTTATACTTTGAAATGGTCAAATCTTTTTAACATTTTCGGGATAAGATGAAATAAAATATAAAATATAACTTCATCATTTCAAATAATATCTTATTATTATAAAATTTTATAATAATTTCATCAATTCAAATCAGCATTGTAATACAGCTGTAATGCTTCATTAATTAATAATTATTGATATTAACTAACATAAAAAAATTACAAAGTATATTAATTGTATATTATCCTTATATCTGAGCAAAGTACCACGTCTTGCTACACTGTGAACACACTACCAAAATCATAATTCGAAAACAAATAACATAAGGCGTTCAATACAAGGGAAGAAAGGGCTAGGGAAAGTAATATTTTTTTTTTAAGAGAAATTTTATCCATTGACATTGTACGCATAATTATAAGTGGCGTTTATCAATCACATATAGCGCGATAAGGCGCTGGTGCCCACACGTTACAATCGATCATTCCTGGAAACGAATTGATAGGTTGCATCCACAAAAATATGGTAGGAGTTAAATCCTCTTCTCTTGCTTCCAATATAATCAAGTCATGCAGCACGCAATTAGTCAAAGAAAGATAAGCTTTATCATGTTCAGATATGGAACTTCATAGATACTTCATAGATATTGTCGCTTGGGGCGTCACATCTAACATCTATTCTTAAAATGTTATTTAATATGATAAATATAGAAAAACAAGAAAAAAAAATTATTAATGGAAAAATAGAATGAAAGTCGCCACCTAATATTTTGGTCATTAAAAACCTTAAATAATCTTAGAAATCAAGTAAAGGAACTGATTGCATAAAAGAAAGGTATTAACATTCTAAATACGCTTTATTTAAGGTAAATTGTTTTATTTAAGGTAAACTGCATTGTTTTATTGTTTGATAAAAAAATTGAAATCTTGTTGTATTTTCTAGTAATTAGTCCGTTTATAGTTTAAGAAAAGTTCTATTTGGTTAAGAGATTCTTATCTTTATTAGGTAAAACCTAACCGTTCTAATGTCAACAAAAGAATTTAATATCGTATAAGGTCATAACCCCAAATATTAAAAAAAAACAAAATAATTTTCTTGGAATTTTTGAAATATTGGTTAGTTCTTATGACTTTAATAAAAAAGCCAAAATGCATGCTAAAACTTTTTTTTTGAAATTTTATTGTTTGAAAATACAATATGATTTATTTATTTATTTGAGAGAGACAATTAGTTGTATGCATGAAAACAAAATATTTTTTTATGTTTTGACAAAAACCAGATATTTTAATGTTATATTTGTATCTTTATAGTATAAAAATATAAATTAATATTGATCAAAATAAAATAAATTATTTATATAAAATTACAAATTTTTTAAAATAATTTTTGAAATTTATTTTATGCTGCCCTAGCCTAACCCGTATGGTGGGGCTGGATCCAGCCACCTGATCACTGGCCAGAGCCAGTAATCCAACCAACCATGCACGCGTAAAATTTTATGCATGTATGGAACAGCGAGAAGGTAATTAAATTACTTTCACACTGTTCATTCTTCGTTAAACGAAGAGCATTTGGTTACAGAGCGCAAGAAAAGTGACGGTCTTTAAGCTTTCAATCGTCTTCCGTTTCCTTTTGTTTCTCTAGATCCATATGCATCTATTTTTTCAAAGAAAGGAAAGGAGCATACCTGCTTCTGGAGAAAGGAAACCGATGATGGGGTTAACCTCCTCTACTGTCTTCGTCGTTCGGTTTCTGCTACTATTGTTCCTTTGCTCTTTGGTTTCTATATCCTCATGCAGCCTTCCTTTGTGTTTCCTAAATTTGCCACTGTGTTCTCTCCTCCGTTCTTCTTTCTCATTTCTCATTTCCCATGTCTCTTTCTTTTTTTCTCTCCTCTCCTCTCTCTATTTTCTA